TCTGATGAAGGGTCTAGGCCCGAAACGTCAGCCTCTCTGCTCCTATGATGCTGCTTGGCCTGCTGTGTTCATCCAGCCCTGCACCTTGTTGTCTCGAGTTTCTCCAGCATTTTTGTTTTTATTTCAGATTTCCAGGATCCACCCTATTTTGCTTTAATTGTAGTGTTTTTCTGTTCACCCTCTTCTTAAATGCTGAATCTCGGCTGACAGATTGTGGAAAGCCTAAGGGAGTTACAAAGTTTCCCACTGTTGCTTTTCATTGCTTTTACTTTTGTAACAATAACATGTTATGATGTTTAGGGAGTGTGCAGGTATACAGGTTGCCACTTCAAATTTACTGCACTCATAATGCCTCCGCTTCCATCACTAAAATGCATGGGTGGAGTATGTGTGAAAGATAACCGTCATCTTTTTCACTTGCTATCTAGGCTGTGCCTCCCGTAGTTCTCTGTTCCAAGTTTTGTGATAGTCTCCTTTTGCAGCAGGGAGGTGATAGTCTACTGGCATGATCACCAGACTATTAATCCAGAAACTCAGATAATGTTGCGGGCACCTGGATTTGAGGCCCACCATGGCAGATGGTGGAATTTAAATTCAATAAAAAGTATCTGGAATTTAGAATCTACAGAAGATAATCAAACTACTGTTGATTGTCAGAAAAACCTTTAGGGAAGGAAATCTGCCATCCTCACCTTATCTGGCCTACATGTGACTCCAGACCCATAGCAATGTGGTTGACTCAAGTCACAAGAAAGAACTGGAACAGGACAGACCACCCAACGTCAATCTAGGCACCAGAATAGACAACGACACAAACAACCCTGTCAACCCTACAAAGTCCTTATTAACGTCTGGGGGCGAGTGCCAGAATTGGGAGAGCTGTCTCAAATACTAGTCTGACATAGTCTTTTATGGGATCATACCTGACAGACAACGTCCCATACCCACCATCATCATCCCTGGATATGTCCTGCCCCGACAGCAGGACAGACCCAGCAGAGGTGGGAGTATGGTGCTGTACAGTCAGGAGGCAGTTGTCTACGGAGTCCTTAACATTAACTCCAGACTCCATGAAGTCGCATGGGCAAGGAAACCTCCTACTGATTGCCACATACCATCCTCGCTTGGCTGATGCATCAATACTCCTCCATGTTGAACAACACTTGGAGGAAGCTCTGAGGATTGCAAGGGTGCAAAATACACTGGGTGGGGGATTTCAATATCCACCACCAAGAGTGGCTTAGCAGCAACGCTAATGATTGAGCTTGTCAGGTCTAAAGGACATAGCTGCTAGATTAGGTTTGCGGCAGGAGGGGTGAGAACCAATATGAGAGATAAACATACTTGACACCATTCTTACCAATCTGCTGGCTTCAGATGTATCTGTCTATTGATAAAATAAGATTGACCACTGCACAGTCCAGACAAATCCCACCCTCACATTGAAATACCCTTCATCATATTATGTAGCACTATCACTGTGCTAAATGGGACAGACGTCGAACAGATCTAGCAACTCAAGACTAGGCAACCATGAGGCGCTGTGGGCCATCAACAGCAGTAATTGTACTCCAGTGTAATCTGCAACCTAATGGCCTGGCATATCCCTCACTCAACCATTACTATCAAACCAGAGGCTCGATCCTCGTTTAATAGAGTGTACAAGAAAGCATGCCAGGAGCAGCACCAGGCATACTGAAGCTGAGGCGTCAAACTGGTGAAGCTACCAAACAGGACTACTTGCATCCCAAACAGTATAAGCAGCAACTGACAGACAGAGCTAAGTGATCCCAATCCGATAGATCAGATCTAAGCTCTGCAGTCCTGCCACATCCAGTTGTGGATGGTGGTGGGCAATTAAACAACTCATTAGAGGAGGAAGAGGGTCCACAAATATTCCTAGCTCATTTATGGAAGACCCCAACACAAGTGCATAAGACAAGGCTGAAGCATTCATAGCAATCTTCAGCCAGAAGTGCCAAGTGAATGATCCATCTCAGTTTCCTCCAGTGGTCCCCAGCATTACAGATACCAATCTTCAACCAATTCAATTCACTCCTCGTGATATCAAGAAATAGTTGGAGTCACTGGATACTGCAAAGTTTATGGGCCTTGACAACACTCAGGCAATAGTACTGAAAACTTGTGCTCCAGAACTTGCCGCTCCCCTAGCCAAGCTGTTTCAGTACAGTTACAGCATTGGTATCTACCTAAAATTGTCCAGGTGTTTCCTGTACACAAATAGCAGGACAAATCCAGCCCGGCTAATTATCGCCCAATGGGGTCTACTCTCAATCATTAGTAAAGTAATGGAAAGTGTCATCAACAGAGCTGTTGGGCAGCAACTGCTCAGCAACAACCTGCTCAGTGATGCCCAGTTTGGATTTCATCAGGGTCACTCAGCTCTGACCTCATTACAGCCTTGGTGCAAACATGAACAAAAGAGCTTAATTCCAGAGGTGAAATGTGAATGGCAGCCCTAGACATTGAGGCTGAATTTGACTGGGTGTGGCATCAAGGAACCCTCAGGGTATCGGGGGCATAGGTGGAGTCATACCCGGAATAGAGGAAGATGGTCATGGTTGTTGGAGGTCAATCTTTTCAGATCCAAGACAGTACTGCAGAGTTCCTCAGGATAGCATCCTAGACTCAACTGAATTCAGCTGCTTCATCAATGACCTTCCCTCCTTCATTAGGTCAGAAGCTGGGATGTTCACCGATGATTGCACAATGTTCAGCACCACTTGCGACTCCTCCAATTTTGAGGCAGTCCATATTCAAATGCAACAAGATCTGGACAATATCCAGGCTTGAGCTGACAAGAGACAAGTAACATTCACATCACTCAAATGCCACTCAATAACCATCTTCAAGAAAAGACAATCTAATCACCACTCCTTAACATTCAGTGGTGTTACCATCACTGAATCCACCATTATCAACATCCTCAGAGTTACCATTGACAGAAACTCAACTGGACTCATCACATAAACACTGTGGCTACAAGAGCAGGTCAGAGGCTAGGGATACTGTGGTGAGTGACTCATCTCCTGACTCCCCAGAGCTTGTCCACCATCTGCAAGGCACAAGTCAGGAGTGAGTTGTAATACTCTCCACTTGCCTCAACGAGTGCAGCTCCAATGACAATCAAGAAGCTTGACACCATTCAGAACAAAGCAGCCCACTTGATCGACACCACATCCACAAGTGTCCTTCCCTCGATCACCAATGCTCAGTATCAGCAGTGTGCACTATCTACAAGATGCACTGAAGAAATCCACCAAAAATATTCAGACAACATCTTCCATATCCACTCCTATCCACTGCATCCCTCCTGTTTGCTACTTCTCTCACTCATCACATACCTTCTCAAATCTGCCATCCATTATTTCACTTCACGGTCCTCCTCCTATTCAAATTTCCTCTCACTCCCTTAATTGCCTCCTTTCTCTCCTACACTTGCACACACAGCCACAGTGTCAGAAATGGCTTGGTGAGAGAGTTGTCTAGCAGGACAGGTGGCGAGTAGGAGGAAGTGGGACAGGGATATGGGAAATGGGAGAGAGTTGAGGAGCAACAGAATCAAGGAATGGGAGAGGCACCGAGAGGAAAGTAAGTAGGAAGAGCGAGCTTATCTCTTCTGGTTTTAGATTTATTTTATTTCACAAATACTTTCATTGGCAAATACAGTCATATGAATGTATTTCATTTTACTAGTTTAATATTTGATTGTTTTCTATGATAAGAAAGGTCCATTTAGAATGTTGTACAGCTTTTAGATATTTTCTAATCATCCTGTTCAAAGATATTAATACATATCTCTTGACGTATATGATAACATTGTTCATGTTCATTTCTGCATTCATTTGTTGAACAAATTTTATTACAGCAGATTTTATTGCCTGGAAACATGGTACATTTTAATATATTTCAAACAATCTTAAAAACTTATCTTTGTCTATCTTGTCTTTATCTTGTCTTATAGGTGATCAACTGAATGCAGTAACAATACATTTTGACAATCTAACCAGTGAAGAAGTTAGTAAAATACTGAAATATTCAGAACAATACAAAACAAGCTTAAAACTAAATGCAAAAGAAGAACTCAGGAGTCCAGATTTCAGACTCTCCAGTCCTGACATGGTAAAAAAAAATTCTTGGTTTATCTAGCTATTTTCAATCAAACAAATGAATTTTCTAGCCATTGGTCGAGTTTTAACATTTACTAATACTGACCATCCTGATTGCTGGTGACATTCCCTCTTGCTGACCCTCCCTCTCACCAACTTTCCCAGTCACTAACCTACTTTCCCTCCCACAAACCCGTAGGTCCTCAACTTGTGCTCTCACCGACCCTCCCAGTCCCCAGCAGTCTCTCTCACTAAAATTCCCAGTTGTTGGTCCAACCTCTATCTTGCTCAACCCTCTCACCTGCCTGGCCTCACTCTCACTGAATGTCCCACTTGCTCATCCCTCTCACCTGCCTGACCCTCACTCACACCAAATGTCCCAGTCTCTGAACCTCCCTGTATGTGACCCTCCCTTTCACTGAACATCATTGCCCCCACCCACTTTGTCCCTGACTGTCCCTATCACTGACCTTCCTTCGAGATCTCCTTTCAGTTGACCCACCTCATGCTGTCTCTCTAGTTTATGGTGTACCTATATGAGCCTGAACCCAAAGCTTCACTCACTCCAAAGTTCTCCTCCTGCCTCTCGCTGCTCATCTCCCAGGCCTTCGCTCACAACAAGGGATGGAAAATGGATACAAAACGTGGGAAGGTTGGCCAACAGATAGACGGGCTGGCAAGCAACTGTGAGGATCTGGAATTGGGAAGATTGGAAACCAGGAGGATTGGGGACTTGGCGAGTTAGAGATCAAGGGGTTGGCCACCAACAGGAAGTTAGCTATTAACTGGATGATTAGGGAAGCAAAAGGGTGCAATGAGCAGAAGATTTGATGAGCATAATGTGGTGAGGGCTGGGGAGTAGGAGAGGCAAAGGTTGGAAGATTGGCTAAGTGGGAAGTGGTGTGGAGAGTGCAAGCAGAGCGAGCCTATTTCTTTTGTATTCTTCAATGTATTTTTTATATAAGTTATATCATTTACAGATATAGGAATTTAAATACATTTCATTTTATACTGGTTTTAACTTTTTTTGATTCCAATGATAAGCTCTTCACTTTGCAAGCATTCTTTGTGCTACAGACACCAGCATTCGAGCAGTAACATACAGGGAATACTCAGTTCCATGGAGTTGTTACATTTAGCTGTTCCAAATATTAGTTACATGCAATTCTGCCTAGAAAAAGGGATGGATTTAGTTGCAAGGTTTTCAATAGGACAGTTCAAGGATCTTTGAAGAGTAATTCGAAGGTTACAGGCAGTTGGGAAAGTCAGAGAAGACGTGAAAGAGAGAGAAAAAGTAAACCTCCAAGTTAGGCATTGCTATTTAGCTATATTTGTAAGAAAATAACTGAATTAATATATGTTCTGCTGTGGGTTCTTAGTGAGAAGTCCCAAGAGAAGTTGGATATCTCTGTTGTCTTGTCTCAGGCAGAAATTCTAAGAGTTGGAAGCCAGCTAGCAATTGGAGTCAGGGCTCTAAAAACGTCCTGGGAACTATGGCGACTCAGAAGAAGCCATGTGCCATTAATATTTCTGAGAGTGGGGGGATTGAAAAGCACACAAGTAGTATTTGCTTAATGCAACTAAACTCAGATCAGATCTCAGGAAAAAAGCATTCTAGCTTGTTGGAGTTAATTGTCAGTGAAAACCGAGAGTTGTGTCTGTGAGTTAGTACTGGAGTGCAATTTCAAGAATCCAGGGCAGTGCAGACTGAGGAAAGCAAGGTCATTGTTGAAAACAGGGGCAGTCGGTGTGGTGGCTTATTACAGAACAGCTCTTTAGAGGGTGTTTCAAGATCAGCAAAAGTGCAGATCTGAATCCTTTGTGAAGTTCACTGAAATTTGACAATCCACCATGTCATTAATGTTTGGGAATTGCTGAGCCTGTCTCACTGCATTTGCTATTTGAGGTGTACTGTAGGGTATTTGATCATAATCCTGGTTTACCACACATTAATTATTGGTGCTAGAATTTAAGTTATGTAAGGATTGTATAGATTGTATTACTGTTCTAGCCTTGCGTAGTAACATTTATTGTTATTTGTTCAAGAGCATGGAATCTTGTGGCTTTATTCTCTGAGTAAATTCCCTAGACTTCAGAACTTGTCTACTTAAAATAACAGATCCTTAGGCAGATTGTAATATAAATTTGCCATCTGGTCCAGGATTATAACACTGAGTGGAAAGGCCATCTAGTTCCCAGCTACAGTTTTTACATTGGTTGTATGGGAAAAATCTGATTTGCATAATATTGTTTCACTTAAAGAACACAACTATAATGCTAAGTCTGGACTTACTCTATATTCAAGGCTGAATCACTGAATCAGACAAAGTTTTGATCTCCAAGACAGTCAAAGTTTATGGGGTGTAGGCAGGAAAGTGGAATTAATACCACAATCAGATCAGCTATGATCTTATTGAATGATGCAGCAGGCTGAATGGCCTGCTTCTGCTCCTATTTCTTATGATCTTCTGAACTAAACATTTACACCAGTTATAAGTCAAAATCAATTTAGCATACTTACTTTACAAATTACATTTTTCTTTGCAGGGATCTGGTGATCAGGTGTACTTAAAGCTGTACAACAGCAAGATTAAGCCACATCTTAAGCTAGCAAAACCAAACCTGAATGCTGGAAGCTTAAATGGAGAGGTCAATGTAAAAAATAAAACATCTTCTTTTGGAGTAAAAGAGCCCAGGATATATTCTCCTGATATTGACATGAAGCTAAAGGCAACAAAAGGTAGTATTTATACTTTAATCTTCAAAATTGATTCACTGCTTTTGGTTTTTACATTAATGGTATAAATAACGGTAAAGTCACCACAGTGCTACCAGCCTAGATTCAGCCTGATGGTGGTCTAACCTGAGGGTCACTGTGCCTCAGGTGACAGAAGAGATTGATAGCCCTTCATGGTAACCTCAGCCAGTGTAGGAATTGACCCTATGCTTTTGGTGGTGCTTGATATTATAAACCAGCTGTTCACCCAACTGAGCTAACTGACTACCAACCAAGTAACTTAAATATGAAACTGATGAAGCCAATGCACACACTATCTTCCTTTCATTATATAAACTCAACAGTTGAATAGGGACATGATGTGAACATTGTGGTTAAGCTGCAGAGCTGGGCTGAGAGGTGGCAAATGGAGTTTAATGCGGAAAAGTGTGAGGTGATTCACTTTGGAAGGAGTAACAGGAATACAGAGTACTGGGCTAATGGTAAGATTCTTGGTAGTGTGGTTGAGCAGAAAGATCTCAGTGTCCATGTGCATAGATCACTGAAAGTTGCCACCCAGGTTGATAGCGTTGTTAAGAAGGCGTACAGTATGTTAGGTTTTATTGGTAGAGGGATTGAGTTTCGGAGCCATGAGGTCATGTTGCAGCTGTACAAAACTCTGGTGCGGCCGCACTTGGAGTATTGCGTACAGTTCTGGTCACCGCATTATAGGAAGGATGTGGAAGCATTGGAAAGGGTGCAGAGGAGATTTACCAGGATGTTGCCTGGTATGGAGGGAAGGTCTTATGAGGAAAGGCTGACGGTCTTGAGGCTGTTTTCGTTAGAGAGAAGAAGGTTAAGAAGTGACTTGATAGAGACATACAAGATGATCAGAGGATTAGATAGGGTGGACAGTGGGAGCCTTTTTCCTCTGATGGTGATGGCTAGCACGAGGGGACATAGCTTTAAATTGAGGGGTGATAGATATAGGACAGATGCCAGAGGTAGGTTCTTTACTCAGAGAGTAGTAAGGGCGTGGAATGCCCTGCCTGCAAAAATAGTAGACTCGCCCAATTTAAGGGCATTTAAATGGTCATTGGATAAACATATGGATGATAATGGAATAGTTTAGGTTAGATGGGCTTCAGATTGGTTTCACAGGTCGGCGCAACATCGAGGGCCGAAGGGCCTGTACTGCGCTGTAATGTTCTATGTTCTATGTTCTATGTTATGTCACTGGACTAGTAAACCAGAGGTCTGGACAATTGACCTGGTCCAGAATCTGGACTAATGATTGAAGAAATATGAATGCAAATGTCACATGGCAATCAGGGAATTTAAATTTAATTAAATAAATTTGGGGGAAAAGTCATTATTAGTAATAAAGACCATGAAACAACCAGATTTTCATATAAAAAACACCCATGGAGTTCACTAACATCCTTTAGATTCCCTGCAGCATGGAAGCATGCCATTTGGCCCACTGAGTCCACACCAACCCTCCGAAGAGCATCCCAACCAGTCTAATCTATCCCTGTAACCCTGCATTTCTCACCGCTAATCCACCTCATCAGTACATCTCTGGACACTATGGGCTATTTACCATGGCCAAGCCAACTAACCTGCACATCTTTGGTCTGTGGGCAGAAACCAGAACACCCAGTCTTGCATTAAACTCAAAAATTGAAGGAATAAAGGGGAAATTAAAATCCCATAGTTTGGTTTATAGAGAAAAAAATATAAAGTGGAACACAAGGAAACCTGATAATGCCTGATTTGAATCCTGAGGTTCCTGGTTTCAAATCAACAATAAAAGTGCCTTCATTCACATTACCAAGAAACAAACCTTTAATGCTAGAGATAGTAGGAACTGCAGATGCTGCAGAATCTGAGGTAACAAGGTGTAGAGCTGGATAAACACAGCAGGTCAAGCAGCATCAGAGGAGCAGGAAAGCTGAAGTTTCGGGCCTAGACCCTTCTTCAGAAATGGGGGAGGGGAAGGGTGTTCTGAAATAAATAGGGAGAGAGGGGGAGGCGGATAGAAGATGGATAGAGGAGAAGATAGGTGGAGAGGAGACAGACCGGTCAAAGAGGCGGGGATGGAGCCAATAAAGGTGAGTGTAGGTGGGGAGGTAGGAAGGAGATAGGTCAGTCCAGGGAGGACGGACAGGTCAAGGGCTGGGATGAGGTTAGTAGGTAGGAGATGGGGGTGGGGCTTGAGGTGGGAGGAGGGGATAGGTGGGAGGAAGGACAGGTTAGGGAGGCGGGGACAAGCTGGGCTGGTTTTGGGGTTCCGTAGGCAGGTACTAAGAAAGGTGATGTGGCTGTAGTACCTGGTTTGCTTCAGGACGTGGTATTACAAGAGAGTTGCAGTGGGAGAGAGATCTACTGAGGTTTTTCCGGAGGGAGGAGGGTAACTTCTTCAGGGTAGGCATCCTTAGAAGAGGCTTCGCAGTGGGGTTAAAATTGTTTTAGAGATAGTAGGAACTGCAGATGCTGGAGAATCTGAGATAACAAGGTGTAGAGCTGGATGAACACAAGCAGCATCAGAGGAGCAGGAAGGCTGACCTCAAGCCCCACCCCCATCTCCTAACTACTAACCTTATCCCGTCCCCTTGACCTGTCCGTCCTCCCTGGACTGACCTATCTCCTCCCCACCTACACTCACCTTTACTGGCTCCATCCCCGCCTCTTCGACCTGTTTGTTTCCTCTCCACCTATCTTCTCCTCTATCCATCTTCTATCCGCCTCCCCCTCTCTCCCTATTTATTTTCAGAACCCTCTTCCCCTCCCCCATTTCTGAAGAAGGGTCTAGGCCCGAAACGTCAGCTTTCCTGCTCCTCTGATGCTGCTTGGCCTGCTGTGTTCATCCAGCTCTACACCTTGTTATCTTTAATGCTAGGTTCTTAGCTCAGCTCTGAACTTTAAAGTGGCATTAACAATCTTACCATGGATGTCGAGGAATCCAAATTTGATACTGGGTGTGAAATTAATTCATGTTGAATGCAGACTTGTTTTGATACCAAGAGGGTAGATAGTGTTGCTGCTCACCCTTTGCACAGTCCATATAGGTTTCATCAATGATACGAACAGGAAAATCAAAAGGCTGATTTTTCAGTCGGCTCCCAGGCAACTGTTTTACATGAACAAATTTCACCCCAATAATCCATATGAGAATTCAGTGAATGAAAAATTAAATTGCCATAATCTAACTTGTCAAAAATAAAATGATGAAGACCAGATATTGGCCTTATCATAAAAGCACCATAAATTTATAGTCCTTAATATTAAATATCTTACAACTAATATGAAGGGATATTTTCTGGTCAATAGTGCTCCAAATCATGATGTTATTAAGAACCACTTGCTGTAAATTGAGCCCCGCTATTCCCAGAGTCAAAACAATATTAATTTTTGTTTTAAAATATACACGGTACCCCAATTTACCTGACTTTTAGATGAAGATTGGCAGAAAGAATGGACCAGGTTTCTGTACTACCTAAGAATTATTATTTATTACAAGGGGCAGCACGGTGGCTTAGTGGTTAGCACTGCTGCCTCATAGTGCCAGGGACCCAGTTTCAATTCTAGCCTTGAGCAGCTGTCTGTGTGGAGTTTACACATTCTCCCTGTGTCTGCATGGGTTTCCTCCCATAGTCCAAAGATGTGCAGCTTATGTGGATCAGCTAGGCTAAATTGCCCATAGTGTCCAGGGATGTGTAGGTGAGGTGGGTTAGCCATGGGAAATACAGGGATAAGGTAGGGTGGTGAGTCTGGATGAGTCTCTTTGAAGAGTTGGTGTGGACTTGTTGAGCTGAATGGCCTGTTTTCACACTATAGGGAAACTAAATTCAAGTAATTAGACTACTGTCACAGGCAAACTGATATAAACCATTAGCATATAACACTACTTTAATTCCCTTCTAAACTCCCTCTTACACACACATATTCACAATTTATTGGCGGAGGTAGAAAAACTGGAAATTCAACTTAGTGGTCTTTGTTTCCTGCTTCCAATGTTGAGATGGTCCATCTTCAGCTGGCTATACTCCTTGTTGATCAGATGCCTTTCTCCAGATGCTTCCATTGGTTTTTAATAAGCACAGAGTGACTAATTCACTTGGCAAATGTTTTCTCAATTCAAACATCACAGCTTATAGCAACTGCTGTGGGAAAGGTAATCAGTTTAATTCAGGTTTAAATAGTTGTAGTCAGGTTGCAGTTTTTGACTGCAGTGAATAGGTAGCTTCTGGTTGCAAGAAAATCTGCACACTTTTTCCCTCTCTCGGTGTCTCCTAACTTGCTTCCAGCTCCAAGCTGCTCAGCCAGCTAAGAACCAATCACACAGTTGTTGGTAAGTAAAAGGTCTCTGTCATTGATAACTGCTACTAGTCCACAGACCAATCAACTTATCAACTCCAGCTAGCCAAGCAGGGCTGGGACCTACTAAAGCAGGCAATGAAAAAACATCATTCATGCAAATTATCTTGAAGATCCCCATCCAAAAGAAAAAGGCATAAAATTGAAAGCATATTTTATTAACATGTCTTTGTCAAATATTTTCATTCCAGATAATGGCCTCAAACTGCCAACATCAAATATAGATCTTGAAGCTCCAAATATCCAAGCTGAAGTCAAAAGTCCAACTCTTGATGTAGATAGCCCAAGATTTAAGGGCACAAAGCTTGAAGGGAAGATAAAGTCCCCAGAGTATCAAACACCATCGTTTTCAATTTCAAGAGGCAAATCTAAATTGCCAGAAATGGATGTGTCTGTACCAGATATAAACACTTCTGATATTGACATTGGTGGTGTAAATATTCCTGAAACCAAAGCAAATTTGAAAATGCCAGAAGTACAAATGCCATCCTTTGGTCTATCAGGACCAAAAACACCAGATGTGGATGTTGACGGTTCAGTGAAAGCTCCTGGCTTTGATGCGTCTGTTCCAAATGTTAAAGGAAATTTTGCTGCACCGAATGCTGACATAAAACTTCCAAAAGCAGATGTAAACATCCCAGATGCAGACCTTAATAAACGAAAATTCACAATGCCAAAATTTAACATGCCAAGTGCAAATTTGTCAGCTCCTGACATGAACTTGAACATGAAAACACCAACTGTTACAAGCAATTTAGATGCTAAATTGAAGGCTCCAAACATCAAGAAGCCAAATTTAGACACTTCCAGACTTCAAGGTCCTAATGTGAATTTAGACGGCAACATAAAACTGCCAAAGACTGACATATCAGCTCCAGAGATTAAGGGTGGTTTAGACTTCAAAACACCGACGATGGGCAAAGATTATGATATGCCTGACATGAACCTTGAAGTACCTGACGTAAAATTGAAAAATGCAGGGGTAAAGGCTCCTTCACGCAACCTCTCAGGAAAAAATATTTCTCCTCCAGACATGGATGTCAAACTACCAACGGCAAATCTAGATATTTCTGCTCCAAAAATTCAAGCTGATGACAAAACTCCAAACTTGGATATAAATGCTCCAAAGGTTGATGGCCCTGGTGTGCAAAGAAAATTTAAGTTCCCAAAATTTAAAAAGCCCATATTTTCAATCTCTGGAAACAAACCAAAAATGCCTGAACTAGACGCAACTGTACCAGATTTGAAGGCAGGTATAAAAGGTCCAGATGTTGATCTAGGGGGATTAAACGGGAGTGTTGATGTTCCTGATGCAAAATGGAAAATGCCAAACATGAAAATGCCATCCGTTGGAGTATCAGGACGAAAAGGACCTGATGTGGATATTGATGGCTCGATAAAAGCGCCAGGTGTTGAGATGTCTGGTCCAAATGTTAAGGGAAATTTTCAGGCTCCAGATGTTGACATCAATCTGCCAAAAGGAGATATAGAT